CTGCTGATAGTTTCAAATCTTATCTTGCTACCCAGAAATAGCTACACCTCGAGATACAAAGTCAAAGACAAACATTACTAACACAGATATACCATATGCATGATATAAACATGCAGATATTGCAACTTCACGGACACGTTGTCCAGTATGTCAAAGCACAAGTCTCAGCTTTCAGTACCTTTCCAATGAAAAGCAGGAAATTATGCTTTTTAGCCATCCTGATATATTTCTAGCTGAAGGACAACATAATGAAATAACAGTGTTTCTCTCTAGGTTTTAAGTATGCTTGGGTTTTATCAGGAAAGGTTTACAGGTAGCTGATGAGATACTCTCATTGTGCGAAGAACTTCTGTGACAAATGGATAGTGTCTGATCTTGCTTTACTGGCTGCACTCTGTCACTACTGGAACTTCAGAGAGGAGGAAGAAGTCTCATATACAGGGGCTTGATGCACAGGAACTTTCTATTCCTTGGAAACGGTAGCTTGCAGCAACAATCATATGAAGAGTATCACCTTGTGTCTCAAGGGCTTTGCTTCTGCATGCCATTAAATCAAACTCAAATAAGCTGGATACAGACTGATTCCTGAGTCAGAAAGCAGGAAGGAGGGATGCTCTAAAGACAGCAGAACTTTCATGTACAAAGATGTTCATGTAATCAAAGTAATCTATACTGTTTCTAGCCAAAAGATCACTTTTGACTGACTGCTGATGGGCCTACTTCAGGCGCTTTAATCCAATCCAAAGAAGAAGAGGTGTAACAGGAAAAACCAAGGGCAGTTCAAACCTTTGTAAATGGAACTCTGAATGTGACTCTGAAACCTGATTTGACAGTAAAATTAAGACAAGGAGGATAGGAGGCAAAGGATGGCAAACGAGAGCATGTACTCCTTCGCAGGGATAATTTGGGCAATCCATCAGAGAATTCCTTTAAGTGTAGTACAATGAAATAATTTTCACTTGATGGCTATACGCACCTTGAACAGAAAGAAATGCAAAGCTGTTCTCACTAGATTGCTGGATGCTGCATTCAATTTTTCCAGAGTCACTCAGCTGTGTGTTGTGGATTATCAGCTCCGAGGTAAACGCATTGCTACTGGTATAATTTTCAGAGGTGAAGCGGTCTGATGTTTCAATAGCTCCTTGAGAATTAATGACAGTGAGGACAGGAGTTCCATTGGACAGCCAAATGAGAATTACCCATCCTAAAGATACAGTGCAATTAAAGCGGGCTTCTGAACCAGCAAGGACCGTTGCATTAGTAGGGCCATTTATAATAGAATAAGAGAGGCCAAGACCTGTAAGGAAGAAAAAACACTATCTGTAAATACATATACACCACCACCAAAGGCCTTTGACTTAATTTTTACTGCCAGCAATTTAAGGCTAAAAAACCAGCCACCCTGGTTCAAATCATGTTATTCACTAGGAGCACTGAGGTATTAAGCATTTAGTCATGTAACAGGAAAGGCTGTGATTCAGCTGAGCTGGCACTTCACCTCTGACAGCTGTCAGTACCTGATAGTTTAAGGAAAAGATTTTTGTCTCATTTTCTCTAATGCCTGTCAGTAAGCAGTTAAAAGGTATGTATGATGAATTGAAATTGCAACTGAGTAAAGTTAATGCCACAGCGGTAAACAGTGGTCAAATGCTTCATTGTTACAGTGGATCCCCAAGCCAATCATTACAAACCCAAGAAGTACAGGTTTATGTAGATTAAAAGATCTTAACCAGTTCAAAGATGGAGATGTACAATCTAATCTTTCACCTCCAGTTTAGATTCAATGGTTTTCATTAAAGATGCACTTGATTTTTGGTCTCTCCTCCTTCTACTCCAAAATCACCTAAATTTCTCTCTTCAGTGATTCACTAAAAACCTTACTTCTCATGTTACTGAAAGAAAAAAGATCCACTTTTAAATAGGAAGACACATGAGTTCTCTAGCCTTTAAAAACTAAAGGAGTATGTGACTGGTCCCTTTTCCATATCTCAGATTGCCACTGATTTTTTGCAGCCCCAGCATATATCCTTTCATGTTCTTTCCCCTATTCATCTGCCTCTTCCCTTACCCCTCATGCATGTATCACATACATCCTTCCCCACCTTCTCAGGCTTTCTGTTATCATGTAAGTCATGAGTTTTTCTCCTTAAAACGTAGTCTGAATTTTGGCTACTATTTTTCAGAACTGAAAGCTCATTTCTAGTGACAGCATTCTGTTTTCCTTTCCTCCTCAGCAGACCCAGGGCCTCCCACTGCCCTCAGAGGAATGAATGTGCAGCTGTTGCCCAGGCAGATGGTGGATCTCCTGTGTGTGGGAAGGCAGAAGCACTGGCTTCTACCAAGCAGAAAGTGAAGGAAGGATGAAGGCAGAGACCTTTTTTTTTTTCAAAGCAACAGCTGTGACTTCAGTTCCTGAAATAGCTAGGGAAAATGGATGCAATTTTGAAGGTGGACAAATCTTAAAGTATTTCCTAGAGAAAGAACCTTGTATACCCTAGTCTTCATGAGTGACAAAACTTCAAACCGTAAGAACAACCCAGATTATTTGGTTGATGTCTTAGGGAACAGAACGTGAGAGAGCAGTGGAGCCTGCTTCTCTGGATCTTTGTTCTTTGTAAATCCCTTTGTATTTTGGCTCAGTTCCCCAGAGAACACTATGTCCATGTGCAGTAGAGCAAAGGCAGAGGTACTAATCAATGCCTTTCAAGGAGGAGTAGCTGACCAAACATCCATAGACTAATTCAGGCTGGAAGTGACCTCAGGAGATCTCCAATCCAGCCCTCTGATAAAATAGGATCAGTTCTGAGGTTGACCTGGTTGCTTATGGCCTTATCCAGTCAGGGCTTGAAAACCTCCAAGGATGGAGACTGCACAGCTTCTCTGGGCAACCTGCTCTACCACCTGACTGTCCTCATAGGGAAAATGTTTTTCCTTTCATCCACTCTGAACCTCTCTTGTTTCAACATATGCCTGTTGTCTCTTATCCTCTTGCCATTCACCACTGTGAAGAGCCTGGCTCCATTTTTTTGACAACCTCCTTGCAGATACTGGCAGGCTGCCATTCGAGACCCTGCCACCATCTCTTCTACAAGCTGAACAAACCCTACTCCATCAGCTGCTCCACACAGGGCAAGTGCTTCAGCCCATTACCATCTTGGTGGCCCTCTACTGAACTCATTCCAGTTTATCAATGTCTTTCCACTACTGGGGAACCCCCAAAATGGGGTGCTCTGATAAGCCAGTCACTTTACTAAATGACTGTCACCCACTGCCCTGCTGGTTGCAGGTGGAGTGGACAGGGAGGGAGGGCACTGTCACTGCTCTACGATCACTGAGGGTCCTCTCAGGGGACTGCTCATGCTCTGCATGCAACCCACCAAGCACAGCTCTTTCTCATCCCACACAGCCACAATCATCTCTTCACCTGTCTCTAAGCTTGACTCTGCTCCCTCTTGGCCTAGTGCTTACCTGCACCTCATTGTGACAGAGTTGCTCTTTGATGGGGGCATTAAAATGTTTTGGTGGCAAAGGACCTCAGGAAATCTCTAGCCCAACTCTCTGCTCCGAGCAGAGTGAACTTCACAGTTAGACCATTTGCACAGGGCCTTCTCAAGACAAATTTTCAATATTTCCAAGGATGGAGATTTCACAAGTTCTCTGCAGACTAAGCAGTCCTGCCAACAAGATCTACCTCAATACTGTGTTTTTCATCACTTACTGGGAAACATTCATGCTAAGGAAGCACCAGGACTGCCAGTGCTAGCCCTAATGAGTCAGGCTGTCATCTGCATAATTACAGCAATTAGATACTACAGTCCACAGCAGTCTAATTAAAACCCCATGTCTGCAAATTTGGACTGAGCATAAGTGTTCAATTATTTTCCAGGAGAAAGAAAGTCTGAAAAGGCCATTATTCCTTTGCTAAGAGTATTCAGGACAATGAAGTGATTTTTAAAGTTTTCATTTAACCCAGGTTTTGGACATTTTAGGTAGTTTATTCATTAACAGATTAATTATCAATTATTGAAAAATTCATTTTTCATTCAGTCAATAGCTGATATGAGTAAGGGAAAGTATGCTGTATTGTTTAACACAAGAAAGATACTTGATAGTTATATAAATGGAACCAGAGCCCAATCTCAGTTACAACATTGCAGACAGAGTCTCAGTGAATGCACCCAGGGCATAGGGTCTGTAATCTTATTGCTCCAGTGTCAACATCATTTTCTAATTCCTAGCTCACATTTAATCCTAGGCAGTGTTTATCTAACCAGGTTTGTGACAAGAATTGTTCTTTAATATAAATAGCTCCTCTCTTTCCTCCCACCCACCACATGTATTTACAGACAAGAGCCTTTGTTTTGCAGGATTATACAAACCTAGCTCTCCCTGGTTCTTTGTGTGATTGCCTCTGAGTTCTCTCATGTTTATAAAAACCTTTACAGAAATTTTCCACCTTCCTGGGTTATGTTACCTCTGCATATGCACCTCATTCTCCAAAGTATATCTCTGTGTGAGCAATAAAACATTAATTGAAAAGCAAACTTCACTTCCACTGATAATTAATAAAACCAGATAAGATACAGCAAAGCATATTTCTGTTCACCTTAAATGGCTCATTTTTTTCCAGTAGCATTTATTCAAAGCTCTCTTCAGACTTGTAAAGGTGAACTGACATGCTTTAAAGCATGAAACAGCTTGAAGACGAGCTCAGCAATCAAATCCATGTGCACACCTTAATGTGTTGCCTTATAAACAGTTATCCCAGCAAAATGCCTAAGAGCCATTTTCTCTCTTTTCTATTTGTCACTTTCTAAATGTTAGAGATTGGCCACATCTCTGTGGATGCATCATTTACAAAGCTACAGGCTTTCTAATGAACATGCACTGACGAAGTACATTCTAGTGAGACCATTTGTCACGTAACATGTTCCTCTTCCCAGATATTTAACATTCAGTTGTCATGATTTTTATTCATAACTTATATTATGGGGGTTGAGACACTGTCCTAAGCTCAAACGTGTCTTCGATTCATCTACTTTTTCTTGACTCATATTGTAGCCAGCCTTTACAATACTACTTCCTATACATATATAGTGTCTATAACATGTTCATGTTCTACTGTGATGGTAGACACAGCCATGAACAAAATTCCTTAGACTTAACACCAAATGCATTTAGTTGCTCATGGAAGAGGAGCTGCAGTACTTATCCACACTGTTTCTCTTAATGCAAACTGATCTGTGTTCATTTGTAATTTATTTCTATGCCTGTGCAAACACTTTACTTTCTTAAGGAGCCGTGGTTTGCCATGGTTCTGAATAAATTATGCAACTTTCAGTATCACTGCTAGCTGTTAATAAACCATTTGCTATGAGGTCATGTCTGTGCGTTCCATTATACTCTTGAAATTTATCCCTAAATGTGAACAATCAGTGATCATTGGCTCTAAAAATGCATGGCTAATATTGGGGGTTTTTTCTTCAGACAGTCAGGACAGTATAGGCAGGTAGGTATGAGCTATTTCTTAATTTATCTAATATAGTAATTTTTTGTCAGTCCAAAGGTATGGTAAGATCTACATCTTCTTCCACCAGCCATATCTGCTGGAGCAATAGATGGTCTTTCACTGATTTCTGTGGGCTGGGGAACAGGTCCATAAGCCCTGTATGAGGATCCTATGGGTGCAGAAGGACTGAGGAGTGAGACATAGATCAAACTTGCCTCCATTTAGATCTCAGTAAAGCCCCAGCACAACCAAAAAGGAGCTTCATGAATCCTCCACCTGCTGCCAAAACATTTTCAGTGGTTTTAACTTTGCCTCTTTGTCTTGTTGCTTTTATTTTTTAATCCTGCAGTAGCACGTGGAGTCCTGAACTAACAGTGTGTTCCATTGTCCAGCCCACGTAAAAACACTGATAAAGTAACTCGTGTAAGGTCACAGAGGACATTTGTGACAGAAATGGGATCTAAACCCAGTTATCAGTGCTTTAAGCCAGTGCTACAAGTCCTTCTGCTGGGCCTTGCTTCTTGCACTAAGGAGAAAAATTTAGTGCTAGTTTCATTTACACACTGCCTAAAAAATACCTTGCAGATGGTTACTTTTAGTCAAATTAAGGCCTTAGGCTAGATTGCCATTGGACTTTACAGGAATTACATGTTCAGCCCTTAACAGCTGGTTTAACATCTGCTTCCCCACACACAACCAATAAGAAATCCCACCCAGACAAACATCATCTTTGCAATAGGGAAACATTAGGCCGTCTTCACGGTATTGCAATACCCCTTGACTTTTGAAGAACAAAGCCGAGTTAGG